CAACATAATTCAAAACCAAAGCCTGGGAAGTCAATAACACTAGAACTGAACCTAAATGGTCAATCAGCGACAGTGGGACTGCTGGCTGTTGATAAAGCCTTTTATGGTCTGAAGGCTGATAATAAACTCACAGCCAAACAGGTCACAGGTTTTACATATTCTTTAAGTTTTCAATCGTTTTTATAATTACCATGCATTTCAGAGAGTACAAGCTTTTGCTTTTACTTTTCAGGTATTTTCTTCCATGAAGTCATATGACCTTGGCTGTAGATATGRCGGGGGAGCTGACTCGTCATCAGTCCTTGTGGATGCTGGCCTTTCTTTTGCATCTCAGTCTATTTCAAGATGGAGGATGAGTAAGACAGTGACTAGCTCTGGAAAAAAACAACAAAACTTTGCCTTAACTTTTATTAAACTTTCCCATATTATTTATCCATATGTTACGCTTTCTATCCAGGTTCTGAATGTGATTCACAAACTGTACGACAAAGACGTTCTGTGGACCTCCAACAGGAAATGATGACATTTAGTAAGCTGTCTTAGACTCTTTGGTTTGAAATATTATAATAAATATTACAAGAATATGCTAACAGTGTTTACTATCTTTTTCTTGGAATTCTACTTTCAGAGGCAAAATTTGAAGATCCAGACCTGCAAGAATGTTGCACTAATGCATTTTCTGGCATCCCTATGAGACGAACATGTGAGGAAAGAGCGGCTAGAGTTCAACTAGTGAAAGAAAATCAAACGTGTGTGGATGTTTTTCTACAGTGCTGCAAAGAAGCAGAGAAGATGAGACAAAGAAAGATGCTAGAGGATGTCCAGAGTGGCCTCGGCAGGAGTGAGGAAAAAACACTTTACTTGAACAATAGTTGCTGGCTCTGTTATTGTTTAAAAACAAACTTTTCTTTTTTCTCTTTTTAGCTATGACTACAGCTGAAATTGAAGAGTTTCTCTTTAATTTGCGTGATCACAATATTCGACGACACTTCCATCCGAGTTTTGAGTTCAAAGAATTTGAAGTGAATGGCAAAAAAAAGTAAGGTTTGGATACTGAACTTCTGTTTTCTTTTAATTACACAAAATGTCCTTAATACAATCAAAACTATTTTAGTTCTAAATTTTGCATTTGTTTATTTTTATTTTGCATTTGCTCTCCACTCGTTAGTATAATTATTCAGGTTACCCTTTGTTTGTCCAAACAGAGGAAGAAAGTGTTTGTTATGAACATTTTACAACCAAGTGGTTTATGTTCTTCTTAGAGTTAGTCATGGAGTTCCTCAGGGTTCGGTGCTTAGCCAATCCTCTTTACCTCATACATGATTCCATTAAGTAAAGTTATTAAACAGCATGGGGTAATTATTTTCCATTGTTATGCTGATGATAATTAGTTATAGTTATCCATAAAACTAGATGAATCCAATCAGTTACTCAAACTACAAAAATGTCTTATTTACAAAAACATGGATGACTCTTAATTTTCTGCTTCTAAACTCAGATAAGACAGAGGATGTGGTTTTTGAACCTGAACATTTTAGGAATAAAATTTGCAGCCTTTCACCTCCTCTGGATGGCATTAATCTGGCCTCTAGTTCTAATGTAAAGAACCTTTGTGTTATTT